CAATCTTATGAAGCGTGACAGTAAAGAATAATATTATACTTACAGAGATCATGGGACACTTAACTCTGAAGTTACCATAAAGAATAGGCCTAACTTTGAATGCTTTATGTTTGTAGTACTTTGAATAAAATATTTTAAATGCTATTTGAAAATTAAAACAGCTTAAAAAAAAAAAGCTCAGTTCCTCAATTGTCTGACGACTGAATACCAGCTGAAATGAACTTACCCAACAATGTAACTATAGAGACGTTGCTGTCTTGTGATGGAGCTTCATGTCCATCTATCTGCTGAGAGTACTTACACTGAACTTTAATCTCAGTATCTGCACTGTGATTCCCAGTCTGACGGAGATCATCCCAGGAATAGGAGCGCAGACATTCTGAGGTATTCTGATCAAACGCCTCCCCCCCTATCTGGAAATAGCACCTGGAGATGGATGGATGCACCAAACAGTGCAGCTCTGCTGTGTCTCCCTTGCTGATGACATTTGGCTTTACAGTCAGCTTGGGGGCTTTCAGCTCACCTACAGGTTGTAAGAACGTTAAATATTAAAGATCAGTTTAAGATCTCATACAATGTAACAATCATGTAGAGTTATTGGAAACTTACCTAAGACCTTCACTTCCATCATCTGACTTCGCTCCGAATGCTGATCACTGACACTGTAGGCACAGCTTAGCCTTACGATAGTGTACGGCGCCATGTCTGTTCTTCCACCGAGAAGCTCTTCCCCAGTCACATGGAACTCACACAGTCCTGAACTGACTAATTCAGTCTTCATGGGGCTCTGCTGTCCATCTAGATGCAGTGAACACTGTAATGGTCTCTTATCCTCAGGGACGTCACAGGTAACTTGGAGAGTCTCCTTCTCAGTCAGCAAAGTTTTAGTCAGGCTTATTCCTGGCTTTGCTAATTCATCTGGATTATAAAATTACATATGTATTAATATGGGCAGTGTTATATTTTGCTTTAAAATCAAGCAGTGACTGGATAATTCTCTGTAAAAATGCTTTGCTAAATATCTGGCAGAAGCATACACTAATAACAATGTTACATCATGCATATCCCATCTTACTCTCCATGAGACACACATAGAGGTGAGAGTGAGTGTGGGGGTCACAGTGCAGGGTTGTCCAGTGCCCAACACCCCGGGATTATGTGGGTTTTGGGGTCTGGCTCAAGGGCCCGACACTGGCACTGCGCTACCAGGCACAGGATTCGCAAACACAGAGACACACATGGCCTGGTTATATATACAGTATATACATTATAAAATGCATATTATAATAACATCAGAATTCTCAGATTTAATAAATGTCCCTTCAACTGAATAACAGAAGTCCAATTAGTTACCTGTTTTATGCTGGAAGTCAAACATAACATCAAAATGTTATTTTATTTTTAAATAATGCAGCATGCAGGGGAAAAAATATAAAAAATAATAACCAAGCTTGTGTCTACACTCACCATCACTTTTGTACCCAACAAACCCGGAAAATTAAATGTAGACATGAAGTGAAGAGCTGATGACATCACAATCTATACAATATGTAAAGGGAACGAGCTAATGAAAAAGGAATTCAGCAATTCTGTTCAGAATATCCACTTCCAAAAACCGGCAGTAACAGACCCTGAGCTCCAGTGAACCGTCTACAAGAAGGACAATGCAGTTACTTACATCCAGTGAGAAGGATAATCTGTGTAAAGAGACAGAAGGCAGGCAGCAGCATTTTGACAGCAATCACCCAAATGTAAAAATGGAGGAACAAAAGTTAAAAGTTAGAGTGAGCATTTGGTAATGAGGAAGTTGGTTATGCTGTGTAATTTAAAAGCTCAGCCTCAGAGGGGCCTACACCAGCACTGGGTGTGTCACAGGGTTTTAACTGGCTGTTCTTTGGTGTCAACCTGCGGGTGTGAGGCAGGAGTGCTATCTACCTACCATTGTGCTGTAAAATCTGTATCCATCTTCTTGTGGTGCAAAAAAAAAAGCTAAGAGTATCACTTCCAAATTTGAACCGGTAAAAAATTTCCCCACTACAGTTACAGGAAGAACCAAAACAGCACCAGCTACAAGTACTAAAGATGTTTAAATATATTTGATGACAGTGAGCTGGGGTTTTCATTTATGATTTTGAGCTTTTTCAGTGGAATTGGTAAACCTCATGCATCCACCACCTTCTGCAGAGACCAGTTTGCACTGGTGAAGGAACTTGCTTTCAGTGTTCTTCTTTACACATGAACTTACAAAAACACTTTAAACAAGAGACATGACTGGTCACAGCAGATTGTGTGTGGCTGGCATTTTCTAAGCTGAGGATTCCGCTTTCGAGCAGATGATAATGGCAAGATAATTGTGAAGCTGTACTGCACACTACATACAGCTATGCTTGTGAACCTGGACTGCACACTGCATACAGCTGTGTTTGTGAACCTGTACTGCACATTTCATACAGCTGTGTTTGTGAACCTGTACTGCACACTGCATACAGCTGTGTTTGTGAACCCGTACTGCACATTGCATACAGCTGTGTTTGTGAACCTGTACTGCACACTGCATATGGCTGTGTTTGTGAATCTGTACTGCAAATTGCATACGGCTGTATTTGTGAATCTGTACTGCAAACTGCATACAGTGGTGTTTGTGAATCTGTACTAGATGCTACATACAGCTGTGTTTGTGATGTGAACCTGTACTGAATGCTGCATACAACTGTGTTTGTGAAGCTGTACTGCATATCAAACAGTTTTTCATTAGCATAATGTTATTCAGTCTGTTGTAAATGAAAAAAAGTGCACAACATCTTCGTAGTAGTGCACTAGCCATGAATCTTGTACCTATACATTCAAAGATCCCTGTGTTCGTTTTTCTTTAGCTTCGGACATTTTCCACTGCAGGTAAATTCAGTTTCCCTGAAGCATACAGCAAATAAAAACATCTCTCTCCTCCCTGCAACAAAGACATTTCCCACAAACACAAAGCCTCTACCATCATAGAAGAGTCCCTTTGAAGGCTCCCATCTGGCAGAAGGTTCAGGAATGCCAGAGCCAAATCTGCCAGGTTCAGAAGTAGCTTCTTTCCCGAAGCTGTCAGGCCACTAAACACCCTGCTGCCCATCTGACTCCCTACCTGTGCCCAAGAATGCTCACCCCTCCCAACTGGCACTGATCACTCCAACTTAGTGCTATTTATCTTTTATTAATTTCCCCTATATTTATTCTGTCCTGTTGTATTTATTGTTTACATACACATTGTACTTTGGTCCAAATTTCATCTGCCAAGCTGGGGGGGACCCACTGAGATCAATAGTGTGGCCTGTATTACAGTGTGTTTCGGGCTGGACGCCTGCCGTTTGACTGCCCCTGATATTAAAAGATAAATATTTAAAGAAAATAAACATTCTATTCCACAGAAAGGTGTGTGAGCTGAGGAGTCTGCAGATTACACCATTATGAAATGGTTATAAACTCTGGCACTCCGCTTTTCATGAATCCAGGTAGTCTCTACTACTATATTGCCTGCATTGGCGCCATCTGATGGGTATTTTTAGTCATTGCAGGCATAAGATCTTAAGATGAGATGCATTCTACAAGTACAAAAGGGTAATGTCTCAATCGTATCTCACAGACTCTGAACTGGCTGTGTATGTGATGGATAACAGGGTCAACAAATCAGACGTGAGGAGAGTGACAGAATAAACATAGAAAATGCATGTTAGTGGAAATGGAGTTCCAACATTCCTGCAGCCTGCGATGGGCAATGCAGCATGCAGCATTCTAAGGGGAAACAACAGACATGGTCACAGACTGGGGGCAGTGCCTGCGATGGACACTGCAGCATGCAGGGGAAACAGCAGACATGGCCACAGGCTGGGGGCAGTGCCTGCGATGGACACTGCAGAATGCAGGGGAAACAGCAGACATGGCCACAGGCTGGGGGCAGTGCCTGCGATGGACACTGCAGCATGCAGGGGAAACAGCAGACATGGACACAGGCTGGGGGCAGTGCCTGCGATGGACACTGCAGCC